TGATTTCACAACCACTTCTAACATGTGCAGTGTGGTATGTTCATTGAATCAAACCAAATCCGCAACTTTTTAAATACAGCGGTCCAACAATCATCATATTCGATGTCTTCTTACCACCCAGAAGCTCAGGAACCAAAATCTTATAGATTTTCAATGAACCCAATTCCTGCTTTGGTTGTCATGCTGTTAGGAATGATGATGAGTTCACATCATCAACATTCAATGATCTCAACCATGATCCATAAACAATGGGGAACTTTACTTGTGGGTGCGGCATTTGCACGTGCGGCTACTTATGTCGTATTTTATCTTGCGCCACCTACTTCGATTTTTCCTGGCAGGCCACCGACTGAAATCATTACAGCTTTCTGTCTGATGGCTGGAGGTTTGATTTTTATGGCTAGTGTATGTTGCATCTTATATCGTCTGATGAAACCAAGGCTAACAGAGTTATAGAGCAAAGATACAGTCAAAGCAATCGAATTGAATGATCTTGATGCGATGTTCGTTTTTACGGTCTCCATGGGTCTCATCACATTCTTGATGGCTTGGATTATTCTTGTGATTGCAATTAAAGGATGGGCGATGAAAAGGGAAAAGAGGTGGAGTAAGAGTGCTGAGTATGAGGTTGAGTGTAATGCATAGAAATAATAATGGTGGTAATGGGTTTGGGGAGGAAGAGAAGAGAAGATGAAAGAGAGGAGGAATGAATAGATAAATCATGATATCATGAATCGATGGGAACATGGAAACATGGAAACAATAATTTTTATGAGGTGGAAATCGGAGTGAGGCGTCAAGATACCATGGATTGTTTGATCTTTTGGGTTTGAGTTTGAATTTGGAATTTCGGATGAAAGAAGTGGAAGGAAGAAGAGGTAGAATACCCAGTTCTAGTAATTTATAATGGGATTGGATAACTTGAGAGAGAATTGTATAATTTATCACCTAGGCAAGCTGTTGTGAATACAAAATGTGATGATGCGCCAGCTTCATCGCTTGAACCTCGGCTGCCAAATCAACAAGTCGCATTGCCTGTCGGGGCCACCCGGGCCCACTCTTCCGGCAAGCTTAGCGTAGTCATTAGCTTAAAATTTAGATTCCACGTCAACAAACATTGCTAAAAGGCATGTTGCCAGAGTGGTTAATGGGTAAGACTTGAATGAATTAATTCGGTTATCTTATGGTTTCGGCCTCGTAGGTTCAAATCCTGCACATGTCGTTTTGTTGGTGGTGGTGGTGCGTGATTTTATTTTTTGAAGATTTTTTTTTAAGATTTTTTGGGGGTGGCTGAGGGTTTGGGGAGTTGGGGGGGGGGGAATATATTTTTTGAGAGGGGGATGAGCGAAGAATGAGAGTGGAGGGGGGTTGGGATAATTATTGTATTATTAGAATCGAATCAGCGCGAGTAGAAGAGTTTAGATATTCTTTCTTTCTTTCTATTTGAGTTATTTCTACAACACCTAAATAGGTGTTCATTCAGGGTGACATTCCAGCTGGAGATGTTTTACTGGTATACGTACTCGAGTAGATGAATCTTGATCTCCGACCATTTTAATTTTCTGGTGTAATGAGGTAGGTTCTATTTCGTGCTACTTCTTTTCAAAATGTTCAGCCCAAGGAATGCCGAAAAAGAACTAAGATTACATAGTCTCAACATCTTCAATCATTCAATGATTCAAATAGCACATTTTCTTCCTCTTAGTCTTATACCCGCTACTGGAGATTTCGCTGTGGATTCTAATGCTTATTTCTCTTCTTGCAAATGGGATGTTTATCGGTGATGGGGGCGTGAAGGAGATGATTGTTGTCGGATAATGGCTCATTTAATGGTTCTACTTCTATATGTTTTGAGTAGCAGTGCAGATATGGAAGAGTTTTTATTTATTATTGGATTTGCTTTGGGGGTTTGTGGTCAGTGGTTGCGCTATTTTGCGCTTCTTTTTTGCTTAGTTTTGTTTTTTGATCTTTCTTCTGATTGATTTTTTTGTTAAGCACGCCCTTTTATTTTTCAATGCAGCGTTTATCACTTGTTTTCCTCTGATCATCTACCGTGGTAGACAATGAGTGACTTGTCATCCGATACAAGAGAAGGGTGGTCTCATACTCAAAGAGCTGTGAGCTTAATGATAGTATCATCGCTGGTGGCCATGCTTATAAGATATGGCTAACGACAAGCCAACAATATTTTCGCCAATATCGTCGAATAAACCCTTCAACTAGTCTAATTGCACCTTCGAAGTCGATAAGATATTCAGTTGATTGCAAAACTACCGCAGCTTATAATCTCATAGACAACAAAACCGATAGCGTCATAACTCGTTGCGTGGTGAGTTCAACGCATCTATCATTGGACAATCATATCACTGCGCCTGCTAAAATATCTCCAAGTCTTGATCTGGGGTTTGGAAAATGTGAAGCAGCTAGATTCGAATTCCAGACATTATCGACCGACATCTGCTCAGAATGGTAGAGTCTGCAGAGGCCGTTGCTGGTGCTCGGACTATTGTACATGATCTTCATGATTCTCAAAGTCGGCGTGTTTTCTCTCCTCGATTGAAGGGGAGGAAGGAGAGCTCCAACTAAGAGGATTAGGCAGGTTAGGAGAACTGGGAAAATTTACAGGAAATAGTAAGGAGTTTTGGAGCTCAGGAGAGGAAGGGAGGGGAGAAGGAGGGGAGAAGGAGGGGAGAAAGAGGGGAGAAAGAAGGGAGATAGTATACGCCGCAAACTCCTTGTGATTGTACTATTGGTACATGAGGCTTGGTGAATTTTTGTATCGTATTGATCTTATATATTATTTCGTATAAAACTAGATAAGCTAACATGAACTAACTAGGACATTACCGGCGCAGGTGGAGGATGAGTTCCCCATTTCCTCGAACTAATCGACATTTTCAATCCCAAACAGCTTGAATGGTGCCACATGCGATACTCTCGTGATATGGATGATCGAGGAAATAACCCCCTACTACAATTTCATTCCAAACCACCATTTCAGATCTTACACCCATGCACCCATATGGAAGTAAAATCCCCCATTTCCACGGTGAACAAGATGCATATGCATCTATCCCCACCAATTCCTCACTTCACTTCCACGAACTCGTTCATCAAATCATATATCCCAACATAAACTCCAATGAATCCTCTGCCATGGAGAAGCCTTACCTAATATCAAGAGCAGCGCACTGGGTAATTAATTTAAGTTCTCTACAACCAAATTCTCTATTCCTTCAAACAAATTTTTGGCAGCTATGATTGAGTGGGCGGAAAATGGTAATGCACGGTTATGTTGAATGAGATGGTTTTGAGTAGTGATTGTTAGGGAATAATGGGCGGATTTGTACGTGGTCTTTGAAATCTATGTAGAATAGTAGTAGCGCTTTGGAATTTCTGTGTGATGAAACTGCTATTATTTTCATGCTTATAAGTTGCATTGTACTAATATTAAGTGACCAAAGTTAAGGTAGAAAGAGGGTTAGGGTTTATGAAGAGTGACTTTTGAAGACGAGAGGTTTTGGAGTAGTGTGAGTGAATAGATGTCCTCTCATAAATTAGCAGCACTTCAGGAATGTATATTTTGCAGATTCCACAATATAATGCTCATCTTTGCAGTAACTTTACTCATCCCACAATCTACTTAAATCTTTAAACTAGGTCTCAGCCTTAAAAATGACGATGCAACAACGTAAATTTAAACACGCGATTGATAAATTAAAAGCAATGTAACGAGAAATAAACATGCGAAGAACACAATAATAAAAATTCATAAGCCCTGGCAAATTCCCCGGAAAAACATCACATATCCCAGCACGTGATCCACACCATATTCCATCCATCCCCCTCCCATCACAACCCCAACCAAGGCCGGCGAAGACGGATCTCTCACCTGTACGCGGTGCTGGCTACGAACTGGTGATGCTTTTGGTATTCATTTGAGCTGACGAGAGAATGCGTGGCAGAGCTGGAAGGGCTGGATTGGGTTGAGAATTGGGGTTTTTCATAAGGGCGAAAAATTTTTCACTTTACTTTACTAATCAATAGCGATCAGAATAGAGGACTATATTGCGATAATGACAATTAGCAACAAAGTTATCATTTGTCCTAGCTAGACGTATAACTTGGTGTTTTGTACGATTATCGATATGGACGATTGATTTTTCTGAAGTACTTTGCAGGATTTTCATATTGGAAGAAAATAATAATTTTAGTCTGGGAACTGGTCTTCTTCGGTGTTCTGAATGATTCGAATCTGAAATTTATTACAATTTTGATCTGTAGTAGAGGTAGGTAGTAGGAAACTACGAAAGGGTAGAGGGAATAGAGGGACGATGATGTTCGAGTGAACTTTAGTTTGTAAAGGTAGGTTCGAGGATATCCTTGGATTACAATTGGCTACGAGGTTTTGTATAGAGATGGATTGTTATAAAGGATGAGAGGGAAAACAATTGGAATATTTGGTTATATTATAGAGGATGCGGGTTAGGGGAGAGAGATTATATAGATTAGGAATGATCTACTGTATTGAAGAGGGTAGTTGATATATCTGTTTGAGGGATTAATTCAATATGCAATAGCAATTATGTAAACTTTGCTGAAGTATATAATATATTCATTAAATTAGCATTTTTCTCTAAAAAGGGTTTTTATATAGCTAGCTCAGAAACCCAGGGGCCTTCCTCCCCTGGTGTCCTTTGTCCCAATTGGGAATTTGAGGCCTGTGCTTCGCACAGAGCCTCGGACGAAAAATATCACACACACACATACACACACAACCCCAACCAATAACTACCGGTACTCCCATCTACTTTACCCAACCCAAGAACAAAAAACGCCCCAGAATCTCCAATTTTCACTATCCTTCACTTCAGCTCGCCCCCCAAAATAAAACCCAATCCCACAACATTCCAAACCCTCACTCACCTATACCAATCATCCCTTAACAAAATAACCCCCAGATAAAGCCAAAAAGAGATAAATAAAAGAAACAAAAGAATTGATCACTGGCGGGATCGAACCGCCGACCTTGGCGTTGTATATCTGTGAATACATGGAATAAACAGAGGATATTAGCACCACGCTCTAACCAGCTGAGCTAAGCGACCTGTCTGGTTATTTGATTGTGGATGAGGAAGCGTAGTTTGGTTTTATGAATAAGAAGCTGGGAAGGGAGTAGGAGTGGAGTGGATGAGGGAGATTTGGTGGGTAGGTGGGTGGGTGCTGGAGAGGGGACAGGGAGCAGGGGAGTATAGCGAGAGTGAGTCATGGGCTAGGGTTAGGGTTTAGGTGGCGGGAAAGACGGAGTGGGATGTAAGAAGTGGAGGGGTGGGTCGTAAGTCTTGAGCGTGGGTGAGTGGAATTGGTGGACGTTGGGTTTTTGGCGCGGAGGGGGACGAGATGAGGTTTGGGGTCATGGGTTTAAGGTGTGAAACTTCTACTCAGGTAGTAGCTAACAATTATTTATGCTCTTTGATATTTAATATTGCATAGGAAAGACGTGAAAGGAAAGCGACTTGGTCATTTGAGAGTCCATCATGTACCTAGTACATTTTACACAAAACTAAACAAGTGCCATGGAACGAACGAAACAATTCAAATGACTTTGGACGAAAAGTGTAGAACTATCTTTGTGTATATTTCATCATTCATATCATTAATCTATCTCTTACAAACGGGATCCAACTGAACTATCTTCCTTAACCTCGACCAATAATTTTCCTGGAGATTGTCAGCACAATTGTCCAATAATATTAAAATAGAAAAAACTTACCAGTATTAACACCTTGATATAAATCCAATAAAGCTTGCTCAGCAACACCAAGTCCACCCTTAATAATGGTCTCCTTTCTTTGAAGTTTGCCTTCCGCCAACCATTGAGACATGTCTTTACGGGCTTCCGCATATTTAGATGCATAGTCAAAGACGATAAAACCTTGGAGACGAATACGCATTGAGATGATCATCGAGAAGTTCTGGATTAAGTCAGAAAGTGCAACAGGCAATATATTGAGTGAGCAAAATACCTTTGGTCCTACTGGAGCATCAGAGTTGTATTGACTGATGGCACCACACATAACAAAAGTTGAGAATGGCTTAGCTCTACTAAGAGCAAGTTCCAAAATGTCTCCCCCAACATTGTCAAAGAATATATCGATAAAGTTTGGCGTAGCAGCCTTGAACTTGGAAGCGAATTGCTTGTCTTTGTAGTTCAAAGCATCATCACAACCCAATTCCTTCAACCATTGAACTTTATCATCACTTCCCGCAAGACCTAAAACCTTGGCTCCCTTAAGCTTAGCAATCTGACAAACGACACTTCCAGTAGCACCAGCGGCACCAGAAACTACAACGAAGTCTCCGGCCTTGACCTTTCCAACTTCGAGAATTCCGAAGTAAGCGGTGAGACCAGTCATTCCAAGAACACCAAGTGCATCGGTGAGTTTGCCGTTAGGTGGAAGATCAATGGGTGTGAGATCTTTGGGAGCCATGATGGCGACTTCTCTCCATCCTGTAATACCGGATACGTAATCGCCGACATTGAATTTCGATGACTTGCTGGCAATGACCTTTCCAATCGAAACACCACGCATCACCTCTCCAATCTGAACAGGTGGGACATATGATCTTCTATCTATTCCAGCATTGTGAATGTCAGCGATGATCACGTGAAGAGGCGGGGTACATCAAGAATATACCCCTAAGCATCATCCATTAATGGCTAATGGGAGAGAAAGAGAATAGCAGTCGGTACGTACCATTTAACCAGCCTCTCATGGCCGGATCCAATGAAAGATATAACACTTCAACCAACACTTGATCATCCTTAAGATCTGCCTCCGTCACCATTGGATTCTCCTTCTTCTCAAAAGTCTCTCCTGGGACAATCTGAGCAGTAGGACGTTTGGCTAAGACCACCGATTGATATGTAGATTGAGCCATGATGTTCTTTGAACGTTTAATCTTTTGACCCTCCATTTTGGTGTTCGTCTGCGGCGCTCCCTTATATATCTTTGAATCGTTTCGTTTCGTCGGAAATACCCTTCCCAACAAATTTGTGTCTCTTTCCGTTTCTAGGTCGAATGCAATCCAAAACTATAATAAACACTACACCGCACACCCAAGATTATCCAAGTACGTGCTGTGTCGTTTCGTAACCGATGCTTTTCGTCTCGTATCAATAGATTACCTGCCTTTCTCCGAGGCAGTCGCTGTGCAATGTCAATCAAATCCACAAAAACTTCAAGGTGCTTTTTCCAAACTTGAATATATCGTCCGACGTCTGTTTTACTCGAACCTTTAGACAATGCTGCGTTGTTGCGTTTGATGACAAAATGGTTGAAATATCAAGGTACCGTCAATAACCATGAGCCGAGGCAGGCACTCGGAGCATTTTACTGCCTTACCGAAATGGCCCAACTTCCTAATTTGGACATCACGCCGATACTACCGACATGCCGTTCTAGGATTTTCCCGATATAAGTGAATCATCCATTTTTCTAAAGTTTAGCATGGAGGAGCAGCATGAAGTATGTCATCGGAGACGAACCGAAAGAAGATGCAGATGCGCGATTGCATGACGTGTGTATTGGACTCGGAGAACCTTATCAAAAGAAGATTTCCGACAGGATGAATAAGCTCAGAGACGGGCTAACGTTGAAACCTCAGAGTGGACTATCAAGCAAAGGCAGTTCGGCGCGAGTACCCGTATGCGGCCGCAATCGCGTTGAGGACCCTTCCTCCCAGGTTTCAAAACCAAAAGCGAGCAAATGGAGCAAGTCCATAAGCTTTGTTTTTGTAAGGCTTTCTTTGGGGCGGGTTAAGACCATTTTGGATTTTGTTGATCTCGGGGCTTTGTCTCTGCACAGGTATTGTGGATCTCAAAGTTTTCGTTTCCGTGCGGGCATACTACTATTAAGGTGTACCATGCCCGAGACTTCTTCAATGGAGGGAAGTCTTTGTTTTTGTTTGTTTATTCTGAGACACGAGTCCTGCTTTAACCGATGTGAGTTTCGGATGAAAGTCACAGATCGTTTACGGAAAGGGGTAGTCATCGCCGTGCCGCACCTTGTGTTGGGAGACACAAAGACGTGCGTTTTCTACATAATGCCAACACGCGGCCTGCGGGATGTCATGGAAAGCAAGTAACGTTCATGCCGACTATAGATTCTGGCGGGGATATTTCCCCATGCGATCTTTGCGGAGTTGTTGCTGCCCGGCCCCGCGCCATTGTTCAGGATGTAATGGCCCCTCATTTAGGGCCGTAGGATTTAAGTACCATCCAGGAAACTTCGCCGCTTGCTTCGACTCAATATGCCCCACCATTTCAGGTTTTCTGAACCTTATCGTGTTTGTGTCAACGGTCGAGATCGGTTCGTACTTGCCGTTCACATTACTCTTTGATCACAAATCCCATATCCTGAAGTCCAAGCCTTTGGCATTTACGGGATGAAATAAGAACTAGAAGATCTTCTGCTGCTTTTGAGTGGTTCAATAAATGCCGCTGTCATGTCAAATCTTTGGTATACACGAATATACCGGGTCTAAAGTGAGTATGCCGGAAAATGGGAGCAGAATTCAGGCCTACACGCAGAGGATGGACCAATTGATACCCGAGTTGAAACTCTGTTCCATTTGAGCACTAGAGCGGTCAATTTAAACATGTGAGTATATTTGATATATTTATGTGGTTATAAGGATAGATTTCTGCACACCCATTATGCACAAGGCCACATGTTCGACACGTAACCCGTTTCCTTTCTCCTACCTGGGAGATCCTTAATTCTTTCAGTTCATGATGCATGCCTACTTAGGACAGCCAGTTGATGGATAGTTACAAGTACTTGCTACTGCTCCTCCAGTAATCTTAACTCCAGAGAAACTAATATTGCTACAACTTCCGGATCCACAGAGCACGTAGTAGTTTCTGGCGCTAGCTGCGGCTGTTCCAGTCACGTTTTGGAACAGGACATTCTGGATAAGGACACCGTTAGTTGGATTTCCTGTTGGACCTCCGTTTAAATAATCTTGTTGTACATCGATGCCATAGGTATCAATGTTAGTGAGCTTAATATTACTGTATGTGATGTTGGAGATGAAGCCGGTGGTTCCTTCGTTGGACTTGATGCGAGCTCCGTTGCTGGAATTGACGACTTGACTATTCTTAAACTGGAAAATAATGAGAAAGATATTCGGTAGCGAGGTATATAGAACTTACTGTGATGTTTGTCACATTGTTATTACTCTTTCCACCTACAGATCCTATGGAGAGACCATGGCCACCTGAGCAATATAATCCATCAATGGTGATGTTGTTCCCGCTCGTAACAGCTACGCAGTCATCCTGATTGTAAACGGATGTATTCCTGATTATCGTGTCTGTACTCGAGCTGAGATCAAATCCATCCGAATTGTGAGCTGCAGCTAAAGTACCACTGGCAGCATTCGGCGCGTCCCCTGCTGTGTTGTTAAGAACCAAGTTCTGGATGGTCAGCCCAACAGCACCGCTAATACTGAAAAGATGAACCGGCCAGTTCTGAATATATAGATTCTCGATCACGGAACCACCAATCAATTTTGAGGCAGCGATGAAATGATTTGGCCTGAACTGATCGTTAGCTTAATCATGTTTGAATTGCCGTGGGAACATACTTTGGCACACCATCGTTCGAACCAAACCCATCCCAATAAGCTTGGCCATTGCCATCAATGACTGCACCAGGTGCACCGGTGATGTGAATTCCGGAGCCCGATAATTTGATTGGGTCGAAGCTACTATCGTTGGTGAATCCAAAAGTTGTTTTCCCGGCAAAGGTGATTTTAGTACCGGCCTTGACTTTAGTCAAGTCAATACTGCTTTCTGATGGTGCATATATATTGTTCAGCACAATTGCTGTCGAGGATGCAACGCAAGGCGCGATTTGAGAATACACTGAAGCAGTGCATGTTGTTTGAGCTGTGCAAACGCCTGCCAAAGTGAGGGCTAAGAGCCCAGGAATCGGAAAGTTCTTATGCATGGTGAGAGTTAATCAAGTAAATGAACGAAGCTGAAAATGCAGGAATCAGGAGGAGGCAAGTAAATGAATGAAGTCAAACTTGCAGGACTCAG